ATAAAGAGTTGTCGTTGGTCTTTGAAGGCACCCCCAAAACGATCCGAAATGCACCTGCGGACAACCATATTCCACTAGGCCTCCAGCCGCAACCAACCAGCTCGGAGACAACCATACCGTCCGCAGTGCAGCACCACCACCTTCCAGTTAAACCTCGGTTAACTGGGAATGTTCCCGGGCACACCATACCAACGATGGGTCCCACACCATTTTGTACCTCCAAGAAAAGAACCGCCTCCAAAGACCAACCACCGCCCAGGAACCAAATTAACCCCCCCCCCCCCCAGGAGGAACACAACATTCACCAAACAGGGCGGGCGGGAGGGAAGCTCTCTCTCCCATGTCCAGCTCCCAACTGACGCCCCTCCCCAGAACACCCCACCCTAAAGTGCAGGAGACCCCACCTACACTCTCCTCTACCAACCAGATCCCCCAGCTATCCTTTACCAACTCTAAACAATCATTAACCCTCACACGTTTTCCTTCCCACTCTGGGCCTAGTCATGCCTGCCCTTCGCTAATTCTTTTCTTCTTTTATCGCTGCGGGCATTTCTTTAAACTCTGCCATCACCCCCACACAATTCTAATAATGGTTTTCCAGTAGCAAAAAAATATTCATTGGGTGCAGAGCATGCAGTCCACATCTGCCCAATACTAATAATTGTAAAGTAGCACCCAGGACACTGTCCTCAATAGTGATGATAATATCAACTATTATTCCATTTAATTAAAAAAAATGAAGATTCACCATCTGTCACGGGGCTTTGTGGAGCCTTCACTTTTAATTGAAATGAACAGAAGTTGATTTTATCTTGGCTTGGAGAATCAGGTCCTGTGTGCTGCTTTCTTATTACTAGCTCAACAAATGGCCATAGTTTTGTTAGTAGTGTTTTAAAGTGACGCTATATATTCTCTAAAGATGATCCATTCACATCCACTAATTATTGGCTCTGTAATCTATTTTTTATCAAATTGTTTCTTACTGTGTTTTTCTGCCTCCTTGTAATGTCCTCAGTAGTGATGGGCCAAACACCCCCCTGTTCGGTTTGCGGTCGAACATTCGAGCTAAATGACAATTCACTAAGCAGTATCTTACCACATCTGAGTATGCGCTAATATACCACCCAGTTACTAAACAATTGCATGAGTTATATTATTAAGTCATGAGGTATTTTAGTAGTGAAAACATTCCTTCATGTTTCAGCTGTCATGTTTTGGCATTGTCTGTCAATTAAATAAAAAAAAAAAAAGTGTGGGGTCCCCCCCATTCACACCAAGCCTTTTGGGTCTGGTATTGATTTTGAGGGGAACTCCCATGCCAAGCTTTTTAAAAAAAATGGTGTGGGGGTCCCCCCCCAAAATCCATGCCAGACCCTTATCTGAGCATGCAGCCTGACAGGTCAGGAAAGGGGGGGGTGAGCGCCCCCTCCTGAAGCATTCCAGGCCACATGGCCTCAACATGGGGGGGGGGGCTTTGGGGCAGGGGGGATTCCCCCCCAAATCACCTTGTCCCTATGTTGATGGGAACAAGGGCCTCTTCCCCACAACCATGGCCGGTGGTTGTGGGGGCTTATTGGAATCTGGAAGCCCCCTTTAACACAGTGGCCCCCAGATCCCCCCTATGTGAATGAGTATGGGGTACATGCTACAGCTACTCATTCAAAAAAAAAAGTGTAATGTAAAAAATTACAGTAGACAGTCTTTGACAAGTCCTTTATAAATACAAAAATAAAACAAATGTCCCCCGAAGTAGATCCAATGTCAATCACAATGCCTGCCACCACCACCGACCCGAAAAAAAAAAAAAAAAAACCTGCTCTGCTCTCTACCCTGGCTCACTCCATCTGACAGCTGCGCTGGGATGACACTTCTTAAATACTGTGTGACATCATCATGCACTGTGATTGGCCAAAGCATTACACCTGACCTGTGGTCAAGTGAATTGCTTTGGCCAATCACAATGCACTGTCAGGGTGCAGTGCACTGTGTGATGTGGCAGGCAACAGCCCGCCAAACGCCCTTACCGTTTGTGTGTTCGCTGAACACACAAACAGCTGATGTTTTGACTCGAACTTCACGCCCAACTCTAGTCCTCAGAAGTCTCCTTTTCCCCCTCCCTCTCCTTTTCCCTCCTTCAATTTGGAGCGATCAATGCATGTTAGTTGCATGTTAGTTGCAGTCATATGCACTGCTCTATACACACTGCAGATCCCATAGTCCATCTCAGGAGAGCAAGAGAGGATGGCTACATTCCTCTATACAGTACTAGGCCCCTTCACACCAGAAACTGTGCGTCCACTGCGTGTTTTTTCATGCACATTTGCAAGCATTTGATGCACATTTTTATGCATGTTTACATGCAGGTGAGGTGCGATTTCCATCTGCACTTGTCCTGTGAGATCACTGCCTTCTCTTTTTTGGGCTTTAATGTGCACCGTGAGGCATTGTGATGCATTTGCGCGCATTGTTTGTACATTTGAGGTACGGAAAAATGCAGCCTGCTGTATATTTTAAACTGTTTCACTGCCCTGTACTGCACTGTAATGGGGTAAACTATGCCCATAGGATAACTTGCATTTTCAACTGGCTATGCAGTTGGAATACAGTCAAAATTGCATCCAACTGCATCTGGTGTGAATGGGCACACAGTGGAACCATGAAGAACAAATGTAGTCACCCTCTAACAGGAAGTTGGATCACAACAGCAGAAACAAAATAGGAATGTTGGAGATTCGGAGGAGGCTGAGAGCAATAGAATTTTTTATGTGATCAGGGGCGGACTGACCATTTGGAAATTCGGGCTCTGCCCGAGGGCCCGGGGTCAGTAGGGGGCCCCATGAGATGCCCCTGGTACCTTTTTCATAGGCTTTTTTGAGTTTGGGCAAGGACACAGGGGCCCCATGATCCCCTATTGCCCAGGGGCCCCATGAGTTGTCAGTCCGCCCCTGGAAGGGATACTAAATTCTAATTGAAAAAAAAATCTATTTGTGTATGCAGAATATTCCTAAAGCAGAGTTACACCCAAAAGCAGAAGCTCCACTTATTTGCCTCCTCCTCCCTCCGCTGCCATATTTGGCACCTTTTGGGGGGGAGCGGATATCTGGTTTTGACAGGTACCCACTCCCACTTCCGACTCTGTTCACTGCTGCTAAGTAAGCTGGAAGATAAGCCCCCTCTTTCCTCCCGCATTCTCCTGGGAATTTCACGGGTCCCAGAAGACTGTCAGACCAATTGGATGTGCAGTGCGACTCGCACATGCATGGTGGGCACCTGGCTGTGAAGCTGTCACAGCCTGGTGCCCACAGTAGAGATGCCAGCGCCAGAGAGAGAAGGAGAGAAGGGACAGCGCGGGTGAGTACATCGCTGGACCCCGGGACAGGTAAGTGTGTGTTCAATAAAAGTCAGCAGATACAGTTTTTGTAACTGCTGACTTTTAATAAACACAAAAACAGCTGGAACTTCACTTTAACTAAAAAAAAGGGCCATTTTATTGCTCTCAGTCTCCTCCAAATTATTTTTATTTTTTTGCTGCTGTGATCTGACTTCCTATTAGAAGATGGCTACATTTATTCTTCATGGTCCAACTTTATATAGCAATGTAATCACCCTTTTTTGCTTGCTCCTGAGATAGATTATGAACTATAACAGGGGTCTCCAAGCTTTTGAAACAAAAGTCCAATTTACTGCCCTTCAAACTTTAGGGGGGGGCAGACTGTGACTAGTGGAAGTAGAAAATGCCCCATCATTGGTGGGAGTAAACAATGCTATAGGCTTAGTGGTCAGTGGGAGTAAAAAATTACATCATTGGTGTCAGTGGGAGAAATAGTGCCCCATAATTGGTGTCAGTGGAACAATCAGTTCCCCATCTTTGCTTTCAGTGGGAGGAATGGTGCCCCATCACTGTTGTCAGTGGGAGGAATATTACCCCATCAATGGTATCAGTGGGAGGAATAGTGCCCCATAATTGGTGTCAGTGGAAGTATCAGTTCCCCATCTCTGGTTTCAGTGGGAAGAAAGGTGCCCCATCATTGTTGTCAGTGGGAGGAATATTGCCCCATCATTGGTATCAGTGGGAGGAACAGTACCCCATACTGTAATTGGTGTCAGTGGAAGAATCAGTTCCTTATCTCTGGTTTCAGTGGGAGGAATGGTGCCCCATCATTGTTGTCAGTGGTAGGAATATTGCCCCATCATTGGTGTCAGTGGGAGGAATAGTTTCCCATAATTGGTGTTAGTGGAAGAATTTCTTCCCCATCTCTGGTGTCAGTGAGAGGAATGGTGCCCCATCATTATTGTCAGTGGGAGGAATAGTGCACCATTATTGGTGTTTGCGGAAGGAATAGTGCCCCATTGGTATCAGTGAAATAATTAGTTCCCTATCTCTAGTGTCAGTGGGAGGAATAGCACCCCATTTTTGGTGTCAGTGGGAGGATAAGTACCCCATTGTTGGTGTCAGTGGGAAGATAGTTCCTGTCTTTAATGTCAGTGGAAAGAATAGCGCCCCAGGTGCTGTATAAAGGCAATCAAAGGGCCATAGATGGCCCACGGGGTATAGTTTTGAGACCCCTGGACTAAAGGATGTGTATAGCACAGAGCAGTGCACAAGACGGCAACTATCGTGAAGTGTTTGTCTCATAGTAACAGTAGTGGTAGGGAAAAGGTGAGGTTCGGAGCTCATGGAGAACATTTCAAGGAGGCAGAAATACACGGAAAGAAACAATTTCATGAAAAACAGAATTCAGGGCAATTAAGTAGGGGAAGTGTATGGATAATTTTTGAGGGAAAATGATCTCTATAAAGTCACTTTAAGAATACTTGAATTTCAGAGTTTAGTGTCGCTGTAAATTAAGTTGACTCATGGTGGAGATTAGAGATGAGCGAAGTATTCAAAAATTCGATTCGACTGATTCGGCGAATTCGTGGACAATATTCGATTCGAGTCGAATATATTCGCTGTGAATTTAACTTAAAAAAGGGTGTTTCTAGGCTTCAGAGAGACTTAATATTAGTGCAGAACACTGTACCTTTAATTTAAATGCCCTTGGAGTCTGCTGGGGAAGAGAAATAATACTGTCAGTCAGTATGACATGCAGATGAGTGCCGTCGATCTTAGAATCACCGCACACTTCACTCATTTGGCCAGTCACGGGGCAAAAACCAGTGTTTGGAGCCACAGTGTGGCGGTGGAGGCAGCAGTAATGGGAGGCCATACAGCAACCTATGACAAAATGGAAACCAGCAGGAGTGTGAGGAGACCTCAAAGTGGCACATGGCAGAGTGGGAGCAATGGGAGGCGGTACAGGGACCCATGTCACACTGTGGACCCAGCAGCAGCGTGACCAGGCGGTACGGAGGCCCATGGCAGATTACAGGCCTGGCAGCAGCAATGGGAGGCCCGTAATCTGTCAGCACCCTATGACAAAATGGAACCCACCAGCAGTGTGAGGAGACCTGAAAGTGGCACATGGCAGAGTGTGGCGATGGAGACAGCAGCAAGGGAGGCCGTACAGGGACCCATGAGAGACTCTGGACCTAGCAGCAGCATGAGGAGGCGGTATAGGGGCCCATGGCAGATTAGGGGCCTGGCAGCAGCTATAGGAGGCCCGTAATCTGCCAGCACCCTATGTCAAAAAATTCAACACACCAGCAGTGTGAGGAGAACTGAAAGTGGCACATGGCAGAGTGTGGCGATGGAGACAGCAGCTATGGGAGGCCCATAATCTGCCAGCACCCTATGTCAAAAAATTGAACACACCAGCAGTGTGAGGAGACCTGAAAGTGGCACATGGCATGAGAGACTGTGGACCTGGCAGCAGCATGAGGAGGCGGTATAGGGGCCCATGGCAGATTAGGGGCCTGGCAGCAGCTATGGGAGGCCCGTAATCTGCCAGCACCCTATGTCAAAAAATTCAACACACCAGCAGTGTGTGAGGAGATCTGAAAGTGGCACATGGCAGAGTGTGGCGATGGAGACAACCCACCGACTGTTTTGCTCGCTGCCAAGCTGCCACCCTCTCTTCTCCTGATGATGCGGAAGCAATAGCCTGATGACGACGAGGCTGCCAAGTGCGATCAGCCTCATCATCATCAATTAGGGTCTCCGCCTCACTACTAGCCCCCTCGGCTGCGTGTGGGTCAGGAGACAGACCTGTCTCTACACCGGCTACCGAGCCACTCTCCTCGCCACTACTTCTTCGCCTGGCTGCTGAAGAGGCGGATGTCTCCCCCCGTTCCTGACCGCCCTCTGTTAGCTCTTCCTCACTGTACTGGATGACACCGGGAGCACTAGCCTCTGGCTGCGAATAGTGCTGCCTCGACCCCTTCCTCTGCTGCCACGTCTGCTCGCTCCTAAAACATTGCCTCCTCTGCCACTCCTCTGCATGTTGTCTGACATACTCTTTAATTAAACGATTCTGTGTCCCTGAGTAACAATTCTGTGTCCCTGAGTAACGTTTCTGTGGCCCTAAGTAACAGTTCTGTGGCCCTAAGTAACAGTTTGTGGCCCTCAGTAACAATTCTGTGTCTGTCCCTGAGTAACAATTCTGTGTCCCTCAGTAACAATTCTGTGTCCCTCAGTAACAATTCTGTGTCCCTGAGTAACAATTCTGTGTCCCTGAGTAACATTTCTGTGGCCCTAAGTAACACATTCTGTGGCCCTAAGTAACAGTTCTGTGGCCCTCAGTAACAATTCTGTGTCTGTCCCTGTGTCCCTGAGTAACAATTCTGTGTCCCTCAGTAACAATTTCTGCGGCCCTAAGTAACGTTTCTGTGGCCCTCAGTAACAGTTCTGTGGCCCTCAGTAACAGTTCTGTGTCCCTAAGTAACAATTCTGTGGCCCTCAGTAACAATTCTGTGTCTGTCCCTGAGTAACAATTCTGTGGCCCTAAGTAACGTTTCTGTGGCCCTAAGTAACGGTTCTGTGGCCCTCAGTAACAATTCTGTGTCCCTCAGTAACAATTCTGTGTCTGTCCCTAAGTAACAATTCTGTGGCCCTAAGTAACGTTTCTGTGGCCCTAAGTAACAATTCTGTGGCCCTAAGTAACGTTTCTGTGGCCCTCAGTAACAATTCTGTGTCCCTCAGTAACAATTCTGTGTCTGTCCCTGAGTAACAATTCTGTGTGTCCCTAAGTAACAATTCTGTGGCCCTAAGTAAAGTTTCTGTGGCCCTAAGTAACGGTTCTGTGGCCCTGTGTCCCTCAGTAACAATTCTGTATCCCTCAGTAACAATTCTGTGTCTGTCCCTGAGTAACAATTCTGTGGCCCTAAGTAACGTTTCTGTGGCCCTAAGTAACAATTCTGTGGCCCTAAGTAACGATTCTGTGGCCCTAAGTAACGTTTCTGTAGCCCTAAGTAACAATTCTCTGTGGCCCTAAGTAACGTTTCTGTGGCCCTAAGTAACAATTCTGTGTCCCTCAGTAACAATTCTGTGTCCCTGAGTAACAATTCTGTGTCCCTCAGTAACAATTCTGTGTCCCTCAGTAACAATTCTGTGTCCCTGAGTAACAATTCTGTGTCTGTCCCTGAGTAAGAATTCTGTGTCTGTCCCTGAGTAACGTTTCTGTGGCCCTAAGTAACGGTGTGGCCCTCAGTAACAATTCTGTGGCCCTCAGTAACAGTTCTGTGTCCCTGAGTAACAATTCTGTGGCCCTAAGTAACGGTTCTGTGTCCCTCAGTAACAATTCTGTGTCCCTGAGTAACAATTCTGTGGCCCTAAGTAACGGTTCTGTGGCCCTCAGTAACAATTCTGTGTCCCTGAGTAACAATTATGTGTCTGTCCCTGAGTAACAATTCTGTGGCCCTAAGTAACGGTTCTGTGGCCCTCAGTAACAATTCTGTGTCTGTCCCTCAGTAACAATTCTGTGTCTGTCCCTGAGTAACAATTCTGTGGCCCTAAGTAACGGTTCTGTGGTGGCCCTCAGTAACAATTCTGTGTCCCTGAGTAACGTTTCTGTGGCCCTAAGTAACGGTTCTGTGGCCCTCAGTAACAATTCTGTGTCCCTCAGTAACAATTCTGTGTCTGTCCCTGAGTAACAATTCTGTGGCCCTAAGTAACGTTCTGTGGCCCTCAGTAACAATTCTGTGTCCCTGAGTAACGTTTCTGTGGCCCTAAGTAACGGTTCTGTGGCCCTCAGTAACAATTCTGTGTCCCTGAGTAACAATTCTGTGTCTGTCCCTGAGTAACAATTCTGTGGCCCTAAGTAACGGTTCTGTGGCCCTCAGTAACAATTCTGTGTCCCTCAGTAACAATTCTGTGTCTGTCCCTGAGTAACAATTCTGTGGCCCTAAGTAACGGTTCTGTGGCCCTCAGTAACAATTCTGTGTCCCTGAGTAACAATTCTGTGGCCCTAAGTAACAGTTCTGTGTCCCTCAGTAACAATTCTGTGTCTGTCCCTGAGTAACAATTCTGTGGCCCTAACTAACGTTTCTGTGGCCCTAAGTAACAATTCTGTGGCCCTCAGTAACAATTCTGTGTCCCTGAATAACAATTATGTGGACCTAAGTAACGGTTCTGTGGCCCTCAGTAACAATTCTGTGTCCCTGAGTAACGTTTCTGTGGCCCTAAGTAACGGTTCTGTGGCCCTCAGTAACAATTCTGTGTCCCTCAGTAACAATTCTGTGTCTGTCCCTGAGTAACAATTCTGTGGCCCTAAGTAACGGTTCTGTGGCCCTCAGTAACAATTCTGTGTCCCTGAGTAACGTTTCTGTGGCCCTAAGTAACGGTTCTGTGGCCCTCAGTAACAATTCTGTGTCCCTGAGTAACAATTCTGTGTCTGTCCCTGAGTAACAATTCTGTGGCCCTAAGTAACGGTTCTGTGGCCCTCAGTAACAATTCTGTGTCCCTGAGTAACGTTTCTGTGGCCCTAAGTAACAATTCTGTGGCCCTCAGTAACAATTCTGTGTCTGTCCCTGAGTAACAATTCTGTGTCTGTCCTAAGCTAACGTTTCTGTGGCCCTAAGTAACAGTTCTGTGGCCCTCAGTAACAATTCTGTGTCCCTGAGTAACGTTTCTGTGGCCTTAAGTAACAATTCTGTGTCCCTCAGTAACAATTCTGTGGCCCTAAGTAACTTTCTGTGGCCCTCAGTAACAATTCTGTGTCCCTGAGTAACAATTCTGTGGCCCTAAGTAACGGTTCTGTGGCCCTCAGTAACAATTCTGTGTCCCTGAGTAACAATTCTGTGTCTGTCCCTGAGTAACAATTCTGTGGCCCTAAGTAACGGTTCTGTGGCCCTCAGTAACAATTCTGTGTCCCTGAGTAACATTTCTGTGGCCCTAAGTAACGGTTTCTGTGTCCCTCAGTAACAATTCTGTGGCCCTCAGTAACAATTCTGTGTCTGTCCGAGTAACAATTCTGTGGCCCTAACTAACGTTTCTGTGGCCCTAAGTAACAGTTCTGTGGCCCTCAGTAACAATTCTGTCTGTCCCTGAGTAACAATTCTGTGGCCCTAACTAACGTTTCTGTGGCCCTAAGTAACAGTTCTGTGGCCCTCAGTAACAATTCTGTGTCTGTCCCTGAGTAACAATTCTGTGGCCCTATCTAACGTTTCTGTGGCCCTAAGTAACAATTCTCTGGCACTCAGTAACAATTCTGTCTGTCCCTGAGTAACAATTCTGTGGCCCTAACTAACATTTCTGTGGCCCTAAGTAACAATTCTGTGGCCCTCAGTAACAATTCTGTGTCTGTCCCTGAGTAACAATTCTGTGGCCCTAACTAACGTTTCTGTGGCCCTAAGTAACAATTCTGTGTCACTCAGTAACAATTCTGTCTGTCCCTGAGTAACAATTCTGTGGCCCTAATAACGTTTCTGTGGCCCTAAGTAACAGTTCTGTGGCCCTCAGTAACAATTCTGTGTCCCCTGAGTAACAATTCTGTGGCCCTAACTAACGTTTCTGTGGCCCTAAGTAACAATTCTGTGGCACTCAGTAACAATTCTGTCTGTCCCTGAGTAACAATTCTGTGGCCCTAAGTAACAGTTCTGTGTCCCTCAGTAACAATTCTGTGTCCCTCAGTAACAATTCTGTGTCTGTCCCTGAGTAACAATTCTGTGGCCCTAACTAACGTTTCTGTGGCCCTAAGTAACAGTTTCTGTGGCCCTCAGTAACAATTCTGTGTCCCTGAATAACGTTTATATGGACCTAAGTAACGGTTCTGTGGCCCTCAGTAACAATTCTGTGTCCCTGATTAACGTTTCTGTGGCCCTAAGTAGTAACGGTTCTGTGGCCCTCAGTAACAATTCTGTGTCCCTCAGTAACAATTCTGTGTCTGTCCCTGAGTAACAATTCTGTGGCCCTAAGTAACGGTTCTGTGGCCCTCAGTAACAATTCTGTGTCCCTGAGTAACGTTTCTGTGGCCCTAAGTAACGGTTCTGTGGCCCTCAGTAACAATTCTGTGTCCCTGAGTAACAATTCTGTGTCTGTCCCTGAGTAACAATTCTGTGGCCCTAAGTAACGGTTCTGTGGCCCTCAGTAACAATTCTGTGTCCCTGAGTAACGTTTCTGTGGCCCTAAGTAACAATTCTGTGGCCCTCAGTAACAATTCTGTGTCTGTCCCTGAGTAACAATTCTGTGTCCCTAACTAACGTTTCTGTGGCCTAAGTAACAGTTCTGTGGCCCTCAGTAACAATTCTGTGTCCCTGAGTAACGTTTCTGTGGCCTTAAGTAACAATTCTGTGTCCCT